TCAGCTCTAACCAAACAGTTAGTGGTTCGAACCCACCCCGTGGCTCCACTGTAGAGAGACCCGGCAATCTGCTCCCGTGACGACTCCAGCCAAGATACCCTACGGGGCAGTTGTGCTGTGTCACGTGGCGTCACCAGGAGTCAGAAGAGACGCAGTGGCACACAACACCCACATCAGGAGGAGACGTGACTGAAAACTAAGAGAAACAACAGACAAGAAAGACAAACTCCAGGCGAGCCAGAAACGGACTTCGCAAGCAGAGATTTTAAGATAAATATGTTTAGTATGGTCAAAGAGAAAAAGACAATACTAATAATTTTGGCAAAGAACTGGGCATAATAAAAAAATCTAACAGAATTACAAGAACTGAAAAATACAATAAAACAAACTTAAAAACAGTATGTGGGGTTAGCATCAGAACAGACATAGAAATGGTGAATAGCAAAACGAAAAAAGAAAGTATCCAAAATGAAACAAAGAAATACACAAGGATAGAAATATGGTAAAGTCATGAGGCATCGGAAATAGGAAGCAAAGGATTAACAAATGTAACTGAATTCCCAGAAGAAGGGGAGTAGAGGATGGGGCAAAAGAAATATTGACAATTCTCCAAAACAAAAAGACATGGAAACCCAGATTCAAGAAGTCCTGTTAACCTCAAGCAGGCTAGTAACCAAAATCACACTTAGGTAGATCAGCTACAGTAAACTTACAGAAAACCAAAGATGAGAAAAATCTGTAGCTGGAACCTGCCTAGGCTGACTTTCACATTTCTTTTTGGACATACTAGTATCCATCCCTAGGCCCGCATCTTCTAACAGGACTGTGTGACTCAACTTGCAGGCTCTTGGCTTCCCCGTCTTTCCGGCCTTTGTATCTTCTACTTTGCACCTCATACTACACGTAAGTCAGGCTTAACAGCTCTCACCAATATTTCCTGTAGACTTGTTTTTTTCCCAACATTAAAATTCAATTACAAAATATTTGTTAGGAAATAGCAACAATTTTTGTGCTTAATGGAATCAAATCCCCTAATACATACTTATACATAAAAACACGATCATGTCCAAAAGTCTAAAATTTCAATTTAAGACAGATTGTCTTGAAATCTAGTAAGAAACAAAAATAAACAGGTCAAACTTCAGTTTCAGTAGGGGCGGGGGGGGGAAGGGAACGAATGAGATGCTATCATAACTCTGAAGACTAACATTGTATTTGTAGATTACAGATCAGAAACTTCTATGCAATTCACCAGTTCACTCCTTCTGCAACTACATAGTAGACTTTTCATACAACGCATCTAAATTTAATGTTTTTTGTTTTTGTTTTTTTACTCATTACAATATAAGACATCAACATAAAACTCCTCTCCCCACCCCTACATTCAAGTTCTCAAACTGCTAGGAAGTTGTATCTTAAGAATTTAAAATTTCATTTTAAGAAATTTGTATCATTCTTCATTCTAACCCGTACAAAGATAAACCATGAAAATTTATCTGTCTATATTGCTATATAAATTTATACTTCTAAAATATTTACTTAACCCATAAGCAAACAAATCAGAATTTTAAATCTTTGTCTTTAATTTAAAATATAGTATAAGCCCACCGACTGCTCTGACAGGGATCACAATACCGCATCCAGGACAGAGCTGCGGAAAAATGTAGAACAAAATTCAAACTCACAAAAAAAGACCAGACTTATTGGCCTGACAGAGACTAGAGAAACCCTGAGAGCATGGCCCCTGGACACCCTTTTTACTCAGTACTGAAGTCACTCCTGAGGTTCACCCTTCAGCCAAAGATTAGACAGGCCTATAAAACAAACAATAATAATGTGGCTCAACCACGTATATGAGACTAAATGGGCACACCAGACCAGGGGCAGGGACGAGAAGGCAGGAGGGGGCAGGAGAGCTGGACAAATGGAAACGGAAACAAGGTCGAGAAGGGAAGAGTGTTGACACGTCACGGGGTTGGCAACCAATGTCACAAAACAATATGTGTATTAATTGTTTAATTAGAAACTAATTTGCTCTGTAAACCTTCACCTAAAGCACAATAAACAAAAATAAAATACAGTATAAGTAATGAAATGAGTTTACATGACAAGTGATTGGAAACAAACAAAACTACTTCCAGGATAAGTTATTTTTTCAAATGGCTCCTTAAGACAGTGGTTTCCAAAGTCTGCCGCACATTAGAAATACCTCAGGAGTTTTAAAAAATCTTAATGACCAGGGTGTACCCCATATTAATTAAATCAGAATGTCTGGGAGCGGGAGCCAGGAATCAATACATTGTAAAGATTCCCAGGTAATTCCAATGTGTAGCAAAGTCTGGAGACCACAATGAAACCTGTGAGAATCAAAGTCGATGAGACTGCGTGGTTTTTCCGGGTCTCACAGGTTTTCCACCTTTGACAAGACACAGTCTTCACTTTTCTAGGACTTGTTTTACGGAAAATACTTGAGTTTTCCTTCTCTGACAGGTTTCCGCCTTACACAGGTTCTGGCTTTTACAGGTTTTACAGTATACTGTCCTAAGGCATTACAAGTTTCCGATTCATTAGAGAAAAAGCTGCGTGATGAACTAAGAAATGGATTAGAATGAATGACATGTGTAAGACAGGAAATCTAGGTTCTCGTTCCTTCTGCTATTAGCAAGATATGATACCTCTGGTGAACTATTTTCTCTTTGATCCTTAGTTCTTCCCCCTTAAATAAGGAACTTGCACTAGATCTGTGGCATTCAAAGCTGATCAGCACTTCACTGCTATTACAAAAAATCTCTGGGGATACGCTTATTCAGAGGGTCTCAGGTAGGGCCAGTGTGAATATTTAAAAAGTTCTCTAGGCGCTTCTTTCATCCAGAAGTGATACATCCCTTTCATCACTAACATTCTATTATTCTAGATTGTAAGGACAGAAAAGTAAACTAATACATTTAGAAAAAATGTTAAACCACTTAAAACAAATTTGAGCAAATCTGTTAAATTTATCAAAACATTTTTCTTCCTGAGCATGTCAGTTGAAGGCAGATATGTATGTGTGTATATATTATTTTGTATTTTCTTTTTCTCTTTGACTGCTTATTTTTTATTAATATTCATGACACTGATACTACCTTACATTTATGTAGCATTTATCACCTGCTCTGTAGAATATGCGAGGACATAGATTCAAACCAAGCATTATCCTCCCATTTCATGTGCCATTTAAGGTGAAATATTTCATATAAAAGAAGGGAAAACATTCCTACCCAATATAAATATCTGATCAATGAGGTTTGATGAGTTCCTTAAGGTCATCAGGTAAATGATGATAACAATGTACAATGTAAACAAGGTCAAATTTTACCAAAAACACATAAAAATATTATTTAAAAAAAGGAACATAAATAAGCTCAAATGTCTAAAATATTAACCTAAATGGTGGACAAATAATAAAGTTAAAATTCATGCTTTCTGATAAAAAAGGAAGGAGCGTTTTTATGGAGAGTAACAAGTAAATCAGTAATAAATATTTATTTAACCAAGCACTTTTTTTATGTCAGGCACAGTACCAAGTACTGAATAAAGATGAGTAAGGTACAACTGTTTCTCTAAGAAGATGTTCTCCTTACGAAGACATCCACAGGAGAGCAGAGACCAGGTAAAAATTGATATAAAGTGCAAAGATCTACAGCAGAAGTGTGTACAGACTGCCATGGAATGCGTAAGAAGGAGCAACACGTAAATAGTAGTAATAAAATAAATATTGGCTGAATAAGTTTCAAAAAGTTATTTTTTCCTCTTTATTTTTATAAAAAGAAAAAGGTTTAGTGGTCTTGCAGCAATTAGAAAAGACTGGGAAATAAAACATATGCTTCCACAGAGGTCATCAGCTGTCTACAAAGGGCAGACGACCTGGGTGTAACACATCAGGGCAAAACGCTGTAACAGACTCAGGAATAATCCGATAAAATTATAAAACAGAATGTCAGAAGCCTTGCTGTCACTTCTACCACTCATACGCTATGGGACCTTGTAAATCTGTTGCTCTACGTGAAATGTGGTTCATTTCTGTTTTTTGCTCCATTTTTTTTCCTGACACAAACCAGAAAACTTCAGTAAAGAAATCAAAGTTTCTACAAGTTATAACAGGCTTTCAAGGAATCTGGGTAATTTTAAGCTTCTTTTAACCATTACCAATATAAGGAACGAAGCAATCACATTTCCTCAGGCAGAAGGCAGCCCTTCACTTGTTCACACACAAATCTAAGGAGTCAGACGTCCCAGTGTAGATTCTATTTATTCCAATTGTTATCTTTACATCTGTTCCTTGTTTATTAATACAGTTTTCCCCATCACTTTGCAATCAGGTCTCACCGCATTATACCTCCTTAGCCTCATATAAATGAGACACAAGATAATGTTTAGTGACTAATTTTAAATTTAGGCAAAGAGAGCAGATATTCAAGAATACCAAAATTCAAAATCCTGCCTACTTGATTGATGTAAACCTACACTGTGATGAGTTGTACAGTTTTAGAGAAAGAGCTGTGCTCTAAACTGAAACCACAAAGGAATGGGTATCCCAGAGTGTTAGTACATAAACTTTTCACTCTAATGGCTTGAGTTCAAACCTTGACTGGTTCGCAACGGAAGATGTTTGGGTTCTTAACCTCCTACCTAGAGAGTGTTTACTCAGATTATAAAACTACAGCAGATGCTGGCACAACAAACACGCTCTGCTTGAGAGGCGCTGTAGGCATTTTTACGAGCCAGAAATGCACTGGCAAAGTGATTCGGGAAAGCTTGTTCTAGCCGTAATAACACTGTGTCCCAAGTGTGACCAATCCTCTCAGTTCTATTATCAGTTTTCCAACATTCGCCCATGATTAATTCTTTTAAAATCCAAGTTTAACAGATTAGTTCGTGTTTCATAAACGCAGAGTACGATGTTATGATGCAGCAGCATTTGAAAGTTTAAAATAATATTTTTGTACAAGCACACTGACCTTTTTGACTTCACTTCTTTTGTTTGGTTCTTCATGGGGTTTGAGGAGTTCCTTAAAGCCTTCATATGAGCCAGGTAAAACATCACGGCTTGTCTGTCCATTTTCAACACCTAAAACCCAAGGGAGGTGAAGACTGATTAGAACTTTATATGAACTGAATGCTAATGCAACCTAAGCAAAACTAAAATGAAAAACTGTATTTACACATAACGGTAACAAAATATAGATCTTTCAAATAAATACTGCATACCTGGTGCTCTTTGAGACCTGTTTAGAGTTTTCAGTTTATCCTCTCCCGTATCCCAAGCAATTTATGTAACTCAATGGTCTGAAACAATTTTGCCTGTCAGGTTACAATGCACTAGCTTCCTAGTATTATATTTGTCCTTTTGATAATGCAAAAAAGTATATACCTATACTTCCCTCACTATCTAAACTCCAAAACAAAGATTTTTACATAAAAACCAGTTTCTCCAAGAAGGTGGTTATATATTAGAGGAAATAAGTAACCTTAGCTTTTGGATCAGTTTGGACTTTTCTACAGAACAGTTTTCAGTACAAAACTTCAGGTTTCAATCTACAAACAATAAATGTGTATGGTTCTACCTCCTACCCCCCAATTATCCACCTTAGACCAGCTTCTAAACATGCAGACACACAAACCATAAAGAAGATATTCATCAAGTTAAACATGATTTCATTAGACGCTAGACGGTGTAGAAACCCTAAATCACCCGCAATTACGTGTGAAATTTTTGCTTTGGGTTGACTCACCTATTGCCCTGCCTTGTATGGTGCTTCTTCTTTTTATTTTTAAACTCCAAAATAGTTTGTCTACTTTACATCTTAATTGGTGTTTTGAAGGAAGACTAGACTAACTAGCCACCATTTATGACAAAGTCTCAATGGGAAATGCAAAACTTGACACAGAGGGTTTACAGTAGCCTAGGGAACACTTAAGTCCCAGCCACAACCAAGTGATTGTTAGACACCCCACACCAGGTAATAAAAGTTAACCCACCAGGGCTCCAACAGACAAGGTAGACATAGATAAATACAGGGCATTTAAGTGCCATCAGAAATTTAAAATCATATGATGTGACTACTTTTCAAATAAAATAGACTGCTGTGATGAAACCAGATATAACCCCTATTTTAGTTGTAAGTGCCGCTATGCTAATTTTTTCTACAGCAACATTGTAAAAAAATTAGCATAGCACATACTTTGTGTGTGTGTGGGGGGGCTTATCTGCATAAAAATATGGCAGTTTGGGGTGCCTCTTTGAAAAGCTTTTAATTCTTTTTTCAAATACAGGGTTCTAGCTAAGTGAGAAAAAAATGCCAAACAACAATTGTGAATTTTCTTGAATTTAAACTCGTTCTTAATTGCAAACTGAGCCTTAAAAAACATTTAATTTAGGTTCTGAACCATGAAACAAAACTCTCAGCCTATAAACCCTAATACTGGATCCCTTTGGAGATTCAGATCAATCAAATGCTGAGCCCAGCTGTTACTCACTATTCCTCATGAATCTTTTATACTTTACTTACATTTCACTTCTTTACCATCCTAATTATGTTGGACTTGCATTTATATTTCACTTCTCACCCAGGGCTACTTCATCCCAGGTGACCGTCCAACCCGAATGATGGCCTCAAATAGCAAAACAAAGACCTTACTAACTTGGAGCTGATGTGCCATTTAAAGGAGTGTTGTTCAGTTAATACTTTGTTCTAAGATCTAACTATCCTGAGTTTCTCACTTCAATTCACTATGAAGGATTTATACACACACTGTTTTCCACTATGTTCAACAATAATTTTTTGCAAATGTTGAGTACTCCTAACTCCCAGGCCAGGTATGGATGCAATCTGTTTTTTATCCTTAAGATATAAAATTAAAAGTAATTAGAAGATTAGAATTAATATTAATTGTACCCACTGTGCATTTAATTTCCTTTTTAAATACAAATATTTACTTTAAAAGCAAGAGTACCGTATTTTTACGAAATTAACACGCGTCTTCTGTGTTTGTTTGTGGGTGGCACTCTCCGCCCACGAGGCGCCCTTGCAAGCTCAGCCATGCCAATCCACTTCCACATGTTGCCATAAAAAAATTTTAGCATAGCGAGCTTACGAAAATACCTTGTGGGGGTTGGGTGCAGCCGGCAAACAAATGCAGAAGGCGCACATTATTTGCGTAAAAATACAGTATATCAAAATAAGAAAGGCAGTGGAGGAAAGATTTAATTTGGGATCCAATGCTCTCTTGTTATTGAACCATGAATAAGTCTTCAGTTTCCTAGTATGTCTATGTAAAAACAAAAACAAAACAAACGAAAACAAAAAACTATAAGTTACTTGCCTCAATTCTTTCCCAGAACAATGAAACAGGTTGTAAAGCATTTTGTAAACATAATAAGGCTCTATAAAATGCCTCATAACCTTTTAAAACCTAAGAAAAGCAGATATTGCTAATGATACATTTTCACAATTTCAAAAATCATGTACTTACAAAATGATATAAGTAAACGATTTCTTATTTGGCTATGTTAAAACAATATTTCAGCTAATTAATACTTTTTTTGAGGACTTTATCAGTAAACTAATAACAGTTGAACGTGCAAAGCAATTCTGAAAACGTTTATGTAGAGAAAGTTCTGATTTTATTCCTCGCCATAGCTCGGTAAGGAGCCCCACACAAATGCTGACTCGCCATCTTTCTGGGTTTTCTCCCACCTCTCGGATGACTCATTTTGTTTGCTGCGGTTTCACTGGGTTGTCATCAGCTCTCCTCACACTATCCAAGGGTGATTTCTTAACGTCCATAGACTGATCCAACATCGAAGAGTCCTAACTCTGTGGATCTTTTCTAGACCTCCCAGCTGAGGTATGGCTCCATATATCCAACTACCTATTGGACATCGATTCGAATGTTTCAGAGAGATTTCAACTAACATGACCATAGTCCACCTCGTTCTTAACTCCTCCTCCAACATACTCTAGTTTGATGAATATTACTAATCATCTACTTATCAAAATAATAAATCCTAAACTCCTCACTCTCCCTCTCATATTCATTTTGATTTCACTACACAAGTGATTTATTATCTTAGTTTTCAAAAACTGATCAAATACAGAGGAAAAAACCACAGTCGCAGAATTTCAATCATTAGGCCATACTTCCTGAAATTTCACTGTTTAGAAATTTAAGTAAAAACTATCATAAAAATACAAACACATCAAGGAAGGTTAGAAAGTGATAACATTCATTTCTCAGTGTGAATTAGTTAATCAAAATCTTCATTTACCCAACAGAGACAAGCAGTATTAAGAAAAAGTTTTGATACTAAGAGTGAGGAAATTTCAATTGTGATCACTTTGGAGGCAGAACCAAGTTAAGGCAACATAAGGGCACACTTAAATGCTAGGAAAGGGAGAGGGATGAGGAAATGGATGCTGGAAAGCCATCGGAGAAACTTTGCCCATGTCAGTTTTTCCCAGGGAAAAGCACAAGAAATGTACCCATTTTTAACACCTATCCTCTTGCATATCCTACTTCCACAGAATTAAGACAACGATACTATATAAGTAGATGCAGAGTAAACGTGATTAATGAAAAATGAGTGAATAAAGGAATAATCAACCACTCAGCCAAATAATCAATAGATGTGCAACACCCATGTCAGCCGTCCAGTTAAAGACACACATTGAGCTGTTAAGATTGCTTTACCTCCAGTGAGTGGGACTGGGAGGTTCTGGGAAAGAGAATAGAGAGGAACACTCTTCTTAATACATTTGTATATTATTTGAATAGTCACAAAGTGCAATAGTTACAGTTCAATTTAAAATACTTAAGGAATATAGGTACATGTATATCTACTATTTGCTAAAATAGTCATTCACACTCTTGATTTAAGAAATACTTAGACTAAAAAAATATTCTACTAATGGACCACAGCTACCACGGTCTCTACCAGACTGAGTCCAGTACAGCTAGATGGTGCCCGGCTACCACCACTGACTGCTCTGACTGGTATCACAAGAGGGTCCTGGACAGAGCGGGAGAAGGATGGAGAACAAAATTCTAACTCACAAAAAAGGACCAGATTTACTGGCCTGACAGACTGGAGAAACCCCGAGAATATGGCCCCCAAACACCCTTTTAGCTCAGTGGTGAAGTCACTCCCAAGGTTCACCGTTCAACTGGGGATTGGACAACCCCATAAAACAAAACAGGACTAATGAGGCACAGCAGTCCAGGGACAAGGACTAGAAGGCAGGAGGGGACAGGAAAGCTGGTGATAGGAAACCCAACGTTGAATAAGGACCGTGTTGACATGTTCTGGGGTTGTTAACCATTGTCATAGGGCAATATGTGTACTGTTTAATGAGAAACTATTTGTTCTGTAAACCTTCATCTAAAGTACTATTAAAAAAAAAATTCTACATTGGATAAGACGATCCAAATGCCTATGATTGGATGGGTTTTGTTCTAATAAAGCACTTACAAAATGTTTTTAATTAACTCAATATTAAAAATGGATACGTACTGATGATTTTAATAAGATGTATCAAATACAGCAATTAGAAGCATCAAACTTTCTTACATGGCTGCAAAATAAATCTGAAATTATAAAACTAATTCTTTGCTTTGGGATTATGAATTTGAAGAAAACGTACAAAAATGTCTTACAGAAAATTACTATAGCAAGTTTGCCTATAATTCTCCATTAATTAAATAAAATTATAATCCAAATAAACCCCATCTGGAACCATATTATTCATTTCTCTAATCAGACACTACTAACGACTCACGTCACTCTCTCCTTCAAAACCAGGATGTGGCCTCATAATCCTTCCCAACCTGGGTCTCCAGGCAGTGACCACCAACCCGCTCGTCAGCACTGGCTTCATTTGTCACCTCTATCTCAGGGATTAATGCACTCAGACAAAATAACATTGGGTCACCATGTCTGTAGCATAGTTTAAAATACTTCAGCATAGACTACATGGTATTAAATATGTGTGTTAGTTTGTCCCCATTGAGAATATACATTCCCCAAGTGGTCAGCTAACATGTTAACATCAATACCACACTGTCAACTTCTGTAAATTTTTCAGACCAAGTTGCTTTGCTAATTGGCCAAACGAATGATAGAAAAGAGCTGTAGCTGGTAAAATATTCAGCTTGTTAATCAGCATAACAGATGTCAGAAATAGTTTCTCATCGGTAAAATTCATGGATTCAAGATAACTGGATTAAATTATAATGCATGAACAGCACATAAAATTCCAGTAGGAACTGTAGCTTGTATCCCTAGGGATAATATCCAAGACTTAATCCTTAAATGGTCCTAGGGTCAGAGGATATCTGGCTACCATATGATGACAGTAACTTCACAGAAACTTACCACTGCAATATTGTCTGTCTCTTGTAAACCCTTCTGATGAAGTATGGACTAAAAGAACTGAACGAAGATTTCAGCATTTAGGTCTGTTTTGTGAACTATTTCCCATCTGCTGCCAATAAATGTTTGTTCCGTAAATGTCTGTATATTTGAGACTTGCTTTCAATTAAATCTGGTACATAGAGCTTGTAGAAGAGTAGCTTAACCATCATCAATCTCTAAAAATGGGTGACAATTATCTAACACTTGTGCTAGTGAAATTGTTTAGATCAGTTCACAACACATGTACAAGGTACACACCTCTGCTGACATGTAAAATTTCATCATCCATATCAAAGATGAAAATCTATATTAAAGCAATGGATAAGAGTTGAGAAGGTATGGAATGGATATGCTTCTGTCTTTGCTGGTGGCCAGCAGCGAGGGGCCAAGCTGTGTGCTAGCTCAGGATGACCAGCAGGCTTTAAAACTTGGTAACTAAACCTGACTTCAGGTTCTCTGAAGAGCTATGGTCAGCATCGTCAGGGGTGGAAAAGAAGTCATTTCAACAACCAAGTAATATCAAGCTGCTTTATACACGTCCAGTGCTGCCAAAAGTTAAAACAAGAAGTGAAATCTCCATTTCCACACAAATTTGCTGTGGATCTATTTCTTGAGCTCAAACTACAGTTTCAACAAGGATTTCTAGACCTTGATGTAAGTGCAAAGGAAATTTCCAAATTTCAAAATCCAATTAATGGCACAGTCGAGGAGCTTCCACCCAACCTTCAGTTGGAAGTCTGAACCGTCAATGTAAGGGACGTGCTAAAAGGGAACAGAATCCCATGAACGCCTTTCAAAGCAATGAACATAATAAAAATCATATGCTGTGGATTGGTATCAGTTATTTGGCCGTACCTGTGTGAAAAGACACTTCCAAAAACAAAATACACAATACACACACACAAAAAACACACACAAAACATTATTACAGTTTTGATGATGAGAATACTCAACTTAAATCTCAGTGACGTGAAGTGGTATTCCTCCCCTCATTAGTAAATTAATTCTTCTCATTAGTAAACCTACATTACAGAAATTTATACACAATTTTTATTATGTTTTGAATCTCATCAATAAATATTTTGTGAAAATTTGTTTTCTTTTGTTATGTAAGTATCTAAATAATTACCTACATATCTCAATTTTGCCTCTTGGCCCACAAAGTCTAAAATATTTACTTACCTAGTCCTTTACAGATACATTCTGCTGACTCCTAATATAAACTATATTAAAAAAAAAAAAGATCTATTAATTTACTGATACCAATATGGAAATATCTCTGATATAGTAAGTAAAAAAAAAAAAAAAAGCCGTTGCTGTCGAGTCGATTCTGACTCATAGCCACCCTGTAGGACAGAGCAGAACTGCCCCAGAGGGTTTCCAAGGATGTAAATCTTTATGGAAGCAGACTGCCACATCTTTCTCCCGTGGAATATAATCCTATATATGTAAAAAATCTCAAAATACCTACTTGCATTTGTATGTTTGTATATACAAAGACACTGAAGAACATCTAGAAGGGAATATTAAACTATTCATAGTGATTGCTTCTAGCAATTACTCTAACTCAGTTTATTCTCTATAAACTACCGTGTCATATTTAAAACATACATCAGATCTTATGACTTTCCTGTTCAAACCTCTCCAATGACTTACCACACTTAAAATAAAAATACAGCTCAGAGTTCTCTTCAAGAACTGAATGTCCTAATCATCTGGTTCCTGGCTGCCTTTCTGATTTCATTTCCCACCAGTCTCTCTTCAGCTCAATGAGCTGCTGCTACGGTGGCCCTCTTGCTGTGCCTGCAGGCATGTTTCTACTTCAGGACATTTGTAACTGCTGCTTCCTCAGACTGAAACACAATTCCATTCACTTCACTCAGGTCTGTGATCAAATGTCACCTCCTCAGAGAAGCCTTCACTGACCACCTTATCTAACTGCCCTCCCTTGTATGCCCAACACAATTCTTCTTTATATCACTTCTCACTCACTAACGTTATGTCCTATATTTACAGCTGGTTTTCCTTACTGGAGCATAACCTCGATGAGGGGGGCAAGTGCACCTTGTTTTATTCTCTGCTGTCATCCCAGAAACTAAGAGCGTGCCTGGCACAGAACACGGGTGAATAAATTGTTACCAAATAAATTATGAAAATGAGATAAGGGAAAGGGTGGGAAAGGACATTTTTACCCTTTTAGTAATTTTTGTTACAATGAGAATGTTATTTGTGTACTGTTTATAAAATTAGAGAATAATAAATGTTTACAAGAGTTACTGGATGATTTCAAAGATTATTGTTTCAAAAAGCAAAATTAAAACTCCTTCCCTCGGTTCATGTTCTGTTAACGTTTATTACTGAATCTCTTTTGTAACTTGTTTTTGCAAACTTCACAGCAAACTATCTTAGATATCAACAATAATAACAAGTAAAGTAAACAGAAACTGAAATCAGACTTTTATTTCAACATAAAAGATTTGGGGAGGTATAGCTTGATGTACAGAATAGTTTTACTGCTACACCATTTCAGCACGTTTATAATTTCCAAATTAACCCGAAGGCTATATGGTCTTATCTATGACAGAGTCCCAAAAAGAGCTGGGATACCTGAGCTCCAGTTGAGCTGACTGGGCGAGATTTAAAACATCAGTGGGTCTTAGTTTTATTACTAAAAATAAAAGGGTTAGATTTACGCTAGGCAATATCTAAAGTCTTTTCTTGTCCTAAAATTCAATATTCTGTCTCTTCGGAATGATATGAAATAGGGTAAGTGACTCTAGAAGATGTCATTATATTCGGGCAAATAAAATGTTTCCTTTTGTGAATCAAATTTGGTTATACCAGGATCCTGCCTATATACAATTGTGTGATGGCGAACACAATATGATCAATAAAATCTTAAGATCTCCTCTAAACTTCAGTGAGTCAACTTGCGCCTGCTGCTCTTCCTCTCCTAACTTCTCCTAAGACCCTAAGGGGCTGTAGACATGGGGAAGTTAGGTCCTAGAACAGACAATATAGGTAGTTCCAAGGAAAATTATAATTATAAGAATTAGTTAAAAAATTATAAAAATTTTTCTTTGCAACATTGGGATTACAGGGTACTTCATACCATTTGAAAGTTCCCTCTTTGGAACTTAATTTATATTTGCATGTCATTGATTTTTTTTCAAAAGCTTAAAAAATACACACAATAAAATTTTAAAAGAAAGTTTAAGCTTTAAGAGCAGGATATTCTTAACTATCAAAACAAGTCTATACGAATACTGTTTTAACTTCACAGTTGACATGATTTTAAAATAAATATACTGAAAACACACACTAAGTCTAACAGAAAATATAGTTTTTTTTGTCAATTTTAATGTTTGAAAAGCTAAGATATAAGTAGTAGGTTAAAATAGACAAAAATATTTTAATTCTTTTTATGAGACTGTTTTGGGGATTTTATACTCGAGAAAAATATATACAGTACATCTGTTGATTACATCAACTCTCGTAACTTCTTCAGGGTTGTTAAAACCACCTGAAGTATAGCAAAATGATGAAAGAACAGCCTTGGTCTTATCCTAATTTTAACCCAGTCTTTAGGTAGAGATGGTTAATCTTTAAGATTTCTTCCATTCTGATTGCTGAACCTATCAGAACATGTAATCCTAAAGTGCATTTTTTACTTGCACTGCTTTCACTACAATCACACAGTTCATCACTGTGTTGTTGATTACACACAGTTCACTGCTATGATTACAATTAAATTACAGGTGAGAATAAATCTGATTTCAGTGATATGCTTAAAGCACAATAAGCAGAAGTTAAACAAGGCATGTTAGGATAAACTTTTTAGCAAAAATATGTTAACTGTGCTACTTTTCTTTATAACTAATACTGCCCAAAGTTTCTTCAAAAATAAATATTAATAATATATTTCCAGATTTCCTTTTTTATACATCTTCTTTTCTTGACAGAATCGATGGTTTATGCTACTTTAATTCCCTTTCTAAAATAAACAACCTCATTGTTATGAACCAAGATAAAAAAACAAATTAATAAAAAGTCCTCTATTACACAACAATTACATTATAATGAGAAACCATAAAGGAGCAAGGATAAAGCATCCATTCTAGTCCATTATTCATACCCTAACCTAACCCAGCCCCGTTGCTGTCAAGTGGATTCTGACTCCCAGCAACCCTACAGGACAGAGCAGAACTGTCTCATAGGGTTTCCAAGGAGTGACTGCTGGATTCGAACTGCTCACTTTTGGTTAGCAGCCAAATTCTTAGCTACTGTACCACCAGGGCTCCCAATTACTCATACCAGGTATTAATTATTCTTTTGATGTATGAGAAGAAAAAATCTTGGAAAAATGTATTCATAATTGCAGATTTGACCAACGAGCCCAGAAATTCCATAGTGGAGTAAGTCATCTATCCCTAAAAAATTTACAAGCTTTATCACTGGACAAATATCATTAAAAAAAAAAAAAGGAAGAAAAAGCTTCAAACAAAAATTTAAATTATGAAAATGTTATGATAAATGTAAAGTATGGATACACTATTACATATTCTTATAACAAAGGTACTTGGAAAAGGAGATTCACATACTTTCACTATATCCTCTGGATGAGTTTTTCATTTCTTCTGTAGATTTTTCCACTTTACAATCATCTACAACATGTAGCTTATAATTATTTTGTGTTTCACTTTCAGAAGAGTTCAACATTTTAGAAGTGGTACCTTCTTCTTTCTGTATGCTTTTAATCTCAATCAATTTTTTCATTTTATTAGTGTTTCCTTTCAAAGGAGTTAAATTACCATGGTGTCCTTGCTCTAGACTTTCTTTTGGATGAACAAGTTTATCAAAGATATAAGAAAAGTTATATTCTTCTGGGGATGGGCCTTCTCTTTTCTGAGGGTCAGCCTGTATACAATCCCTGGGAGTTTCTTCAGCTGTACATGCTTCCTTAGAAGTCATGAAACTCAGAGTTGTATTTCCTTCATCATTTGTAGGTGTCTGAAGACTGGAGCTGGTTTTTGCTGTTAAATCGGTAATGTCAACTGGTATGGATTTTTTACCCATAAAGGAAAAATCAGACATTTTTAATATGCTACCTCTCTCATTCTTAGAGAGACTTCTGCTGTTGAACTGAACAAGGTTTGATGACAACTGAAAGTCAGAAAGAAGACTCCTGGAATTCCTTTCCTTAAGATTATCAGGTGAAAAATAATCATCGTATGAGGACTCCCCACAATCAGGAGTCTCTGTAACAGATTTGGTCATGAGCTGTGGCCTGTTTTCCGACTTAAACAGCTGCCATTTGGGCAAGGAAGACTTTGTGCTGTACTTTTTTTTCTTTAATTTTTCTTTTGGAGGTGAATGTAAGTACCCTGATGTTCTTCTTCTCTTTGCGAAGGAACTGCTGGGTCTTGAATGTACCAAAGAGTGGCCTTCTGTTGTAGACAAAACAGGAGACAAACTGCATTTCTCATCAAGCATCTCCTCAGACATTCCTTCAGACTGCTTCTTGTCAGGGGTGACTGTTTCACCCACAATATCTCCTTGCCAATTTAGTTTTTCCTCTGAAAGCTTATTCATGGGTCTTTGAGGTGTTAATTTGTTGAGGTGGCTGCAAGATGCTGATGAGTGAGTACTACTTGTTTTTGATACAGGTGAGGACATACAAATACCACCTCCAATGTCATTAATGAGTCCTCCCAATTTCACTTCCTGATTTCTACGTCTTGAGTTTCCACAAATATCAAAAGATGAGTGTAGAACACCAGCAAAGGATTCATCTGGAAAATATTAATAAAAAATTAACTTTAAAAAATAGGTTCAATAATTACAAAAATAATTTTCAGTTGACCAATAAAGTAATAATTTCTAAGCATAGCTATTACTTAAAAAGACTACTGACCATATCCTGGTTCTTTTCATTTCTACTTAAGGACACAATTAAGGAGACGATGTTTAACTAGGGAGCCTGCGCTTCAGTGTGTGGAGGAATGGGGAGTAGGAACATTTTCTGCTGACTTCTGGAGGCTCCTGTGCGCGTGTTCCCTTTTCCAGGAGGAGCAGCCACAGCTTGTCCGTCCCTGACAGGGGCGTGGTGAGGGAACGAGTGCCGAGGGGCGATCGCTAAGTTGTGCCCCCTTCCCGTTTCAACATGCACAGACGTTGATAGAGGCGACAGGTCAGCAGAAACACCCACCCTCCCTTGTCCAGCTGCCTCAGTCCGGCGCCCCCTTGGACTTGCACCCAGAGGCAAGTGCTCCCCCTGCCGTCCTATCCCCCCTCTGTACACCTCTGATCCTTGATGAAATTCTCGAGGAGGACAATAATTCTAAAAGTTCAGAATTACTGCTTTTAGGTCTAGATCAAGTTTTAGTCTTCAGGAAACATTCCCCAATGAATACAGCTCAGCTTTATCTCCCCTGTCTTCTATTAACGTCCTCATATTGTATTTATATTAAAAAGTGAACCGTCTGGTAGTTGGATCTTAATGTTTTATCTCCCCATATAACATACATTTCTTGAAAGATATGCTAAGCTGATGTCTATTTCCTGAAAATTCTATCTTACACTTCCAAACCTGGTGATTCCTCCACACCTTAAAAATCTGTTGCCGTCGAGTCAATTTTGACTCACAGAGACCCTGTAGGACAGGGTAGAACTGCCCTATAGGGTTTCTAGCGAGCGCCTGGTGGATTTGAACTGCCCACCTCTTGGTTAGCAGCTGAGCTCTTTAACCATTGCGCCACCAGGGCTCCATTCCTCAACATCTTAATCTGGGTAAGTACCACTCATCATTCAAAACCTGTCTCAGATGCCAATGTCTCTGTGGACCCTTCCACTGACTTCACCAGGTCAAGTTAGACACGTCCTCTGGTACACAGTATTTTGCCTAAATTTATAAAAGTATGTACCATGTTATACTGTGATTATATTTGTATATGTCTGTATCACTAGCCTATAAGCTACCAAAGGACAGATATTACTTCCTGTTCATTTTGGAATCTGAAATCTCTAGTCCAGTGCTAGCACCTCTAATACGGGTTCAGTGTTTGCTGAATTAATGAATGACCTCCCTTTATAGTACTACACAACACAGCAGGAAACCTAAGTGTTCACTCAGCACTTTCTGACTGAAATTACTAAAGTTCTATTTTAAAAAAGAAAGAACATAGGCAACCATCAAAATTCTTCCCTAATTGCTATGCTCCAAGGAGAGGGAAATCTATTGTTTGTGCAAGAGTGGTTTCATGTCTATTTCAAATCAGAGAATCTTGTGTGTCTTTATATCAATAACTGTTAATACATAATACTTTTAACTTTAGTAACTGAATAAGCTTATCACACTTTTCTAAAAGCTGATAAGCAGTGTGGCATGTCAGGAGTATAAATGCTGATATCAGAGTGCCTAGGTTTGAATCTTGGGTTTGCTACTCACAAACTGTGTGATACTGTACAAATTGTTTAACATCTTTCTGTCTTGGTTTCCTCATTTGCAAAATGAGGATAATAACAGTACCTAATCCACAGGGTTAATGGGAGAATTAAATGAGAATGCAATAAACAGAACAGTGCCTAGAACACAGTAAAAATGCAGTAAGTGTTAGCAGTATTATCACGGATCGACTCAATGGCAAACGGTTTGGTTTTTTGGTTTTGGTATTATCACTTGTTTCTTACTAACAGGAAATAATTGTTATCAGGTATAAAAATAAAAAGATGTTGATTATTTTTTAAGATAAATGGGTAAATAATTTCTAAACACACCAAACAGAGTGAAAGAATAAACCCTGCAGAGAAAGGAAGTTTTAGTTCAGACTTTCAGCATCTCGACACTGTTGGGTGGTCTGTCACTGGTGTGGTTTTCATAAGATATTCCATAATACTTCCTCCGCTAATGAACACAGGTCTTTAGGGATCACCGCTACTTACTCAGTCCCCATTGTGGGCTGGGTGGGGAAACTATAAAAAATTTGATTCAACTAACGGAAAGCTATAACCACAAAAAATTATCATTTAAAGTGAAAAAGAGGAGTTCCGGCAAAATCGCGCTCTAGACAGAAGCACCACGCCGTCCCTCCACAGCAAAGATCCGA